TAGTGCTATGTCTAGTATTGTGACAAACCCGAACAGTTCAATTTGAGAAACCCGTGAAAACATGTAAAGCATGTTTATGTACCAGAAAATCCAAATATTTAAGCAGCTGAAGTTAGAGTGTCACAAAACCAATATCATAACAATTATCAGTAAATTATGTATTATATGCTGTTCATAGTCACTCACTCGCTACGGGATTCATTTTCTGAATTCTGCAAAAAACCTGGTTGATCCTACTGTTCTCTATCTCCCCCTTTTGCAGTGTAGTGTTGTCAGCTCTGCACATGCTCAGTTGTCAGCGAGTTTCTATGCTGAGCCTTTCCTCCCTATCACATCCGAGCAGCCCATCTGACTAAAGAGTCACCCATGGGGGTGTGTAGACAGTGGTAAATGACAGTCCACTCCCTCCCACCCTCCTACTCTAAGCCAATTAACCAGCTAAACACAGTGGGGGTGGGATATCACTGTGTATGTAGATTGATGGAGGCTTTACCTTCCTTGTAATCTAAGACACAGGCTTGAGGGGTGTGACACAGCCTGTGACTGGCAGAAATCTGCTCTCACACCATGTTATTGCCAAAAAAATAATAAAGGTTTGATTTCAAATATAACTTGTATCTTGATTGAAAACAGTTTATTGATATTAATTATTTATTGTTACTCTGTATCCCAAAGACTGTTTTTTTATTTTGAACATGTGACCAGCAGCAGAGGACTAGAAGCTCCTCCTACCACTTGTTTCCCCTGCAGACAGGCTGGGAAAAAGGTGAGTCATGTGACATCTGTATATCAATTAGGGAAAAAAAAGTACTTAGATTTGTTTTTGTTTTTTTAATAATTACAGTGCCATCATGCACATATAGAAAGATAAGGGATAATGTAAATTAAACAGTGTGTGTTTAGCATCACTTTAAACAAAACATGGCTCATCTTGTACAAACCTAGCATATCTCCTCTCCTCCTTCAGTCTTCTGAGCCTTGCTATTGGTCAATGAGGCCACTCATAAAAGGACCAGAAGGAAAGGCTTTGGAAGTGGGACAGGCTCAACATTGACATAGAAATGGTGTGAGATTTACATTTAAAGTGTATATTAAGGAAAATGAAGAAAACTATATAGTAAATATTTGAAATTCATACACGTTTCCCCATGAAATTCTATGGTCTGCTAACTATAACAGTTTATTGATCATAATTAATACAGCTCTTACAATCTTAAAAACAACTATCATTACATTTGTATTACTATACTGTTCCTTGTGGGACAAAGTACATGTACTGTAGTGCAGGGCTTGAAAAAGCCGCTCGCCCGCTCGCCAAATGGGAGGAGAAATTCTCTAGCGGCGAGCACAGATGCTGGAGCGGCTGCACTCCAAGCCTCATTGTGAAGCCGAGTTCCGGTTTCCGGCTTCTTCGGCACCGCCGCTGAGGGGACAGGTGCAGGAGAGGTCCGCTCTCCTCCACTGAGAGGAGACACCCTCTCCACCGCCGCATGGGACTCAAGGAGTAAGTACTATATACATGTCATATCACTATAATGGAGTACAGGGGAGCTGGGATATACATTACTCAGTAATGTATATCCCAGCTCCCCTGTACTCCATTATAGTGATATGACATGTATACAGTAATGTATATCCCAGCTCCCCTGTACTCCATTATAGTGATATCACATGTATACAGTAATGTATATCCCAGCTCCCCTGTACTCCATGTATATGACATGTACAGTAATGTATATCCCAGCTCCCCTGTACTCCATTATAGTGATATGACATGTATACAGTAATGTATATCCCTGCTCCCCTGTACTCCATTATAGTGATATGACATGTATACAGTAATGTATATCCCAGCTCCCCTGTACTCCATTATAGTGATATGACATGTATACAGCAATGTACATCCCCCCTCCCCTGTACTCCATTATAGTGATGACATGTATACAGTAATGATTACTCTATACATGTCATATCACTATAATGGAGTAAAGGGGAGCTGGGATATACATTACTGTATACAGTTTTATATTTTGGACTCTTTATTCTAAAGAAAAATTTAATTTCATAAGCTTTAAGGGGGCGTGGTTGGGGCAGGGCTGGGGGCAGGCCAGAGGTGGGGTTGGAGGCGGACCTGGGCAAGGTTGGGTGGGGCAACTGGTGGAGAGTAAGGTTTGTGCCTGGCTAGTAGGTCTAGACTCGAAAATTTTAAGCCCTGCTGTAGTACTTTTTCCCATGTTGTTAGGTGCTTTTTAACCTTTGCTGAGATCAGCCTAGGTGCCCACTCCCCCCCTGACTGTTCGACAACATAGCTAGGTAGGGGATGGCTGCTTCATAACAGCTGCTTGTCTTGGCTCTGCACAATCTCCAGACATAAGTGATAACAGGGATGCAGAGGGAGATGGGGTGTGTCAGCTTCCCGTCCCTCTGCATTCCTCTTGCTGCTTCTTAGCTTGATAAAGTGCTCAGATCTAAGACAAGTGGTTGCTATGAAGCAGCCATCCCCTTCTTGGCTATGTTTCTGGACAGCCAAGGGGAAAGGGGGAGGAGAGAGGGAGGAAGTGCCCAATCCAAACTCATAGCTGGGGTTAGGAAGCACCAAACAAAACAGGACAAAGTACTGCATGTACACGGGAACAGAACAGTGAAAAAAAATATTGTAGTTCTTCTTTAAAGCAACCCTATGCTTCACCCTGGCAGGGCAAAGCAACAGGTAAACTATAATGCTCTCAGCAGTACACACTTACTTCCTTTCACATCCACACCGCTCTCTCTGACTGCCAGGAATGAAGATAGAAAACCATGTGTAAGCTCCAAGTTGTGACCTAGAGCTTACACAGGGTTAAAGTGATACTGAACCCAGGACCCTGCATTCACTATATCTGGTCTCCCACAGTACACAGAACATGGAAATGCAATTATTTTAGTGAATATAAACTGCTAAATACCTTTTCTCATCAGCAGTTAGAGCAGTCTTGTGACTTCAGCAGAGCATGGGTTAAAGCTTGTAGAAGGAGTTTTCTTTCTGCTCTAGGAGGATGTGAAACCCTTGACCCTCTGCATGTGATCAGCACAGGGCCAATGAGCACTGTCCAGACACTCTCCCCAAGAAAAACAAAACCGTTCTAGCAATACGAACTAAACTGAGCATGTGCTTGTGACTATGCATTCAGTCTGTATCAGGTGTTCATTTCAACAAGAGGAGTGGCACAGAAGAAAGGATCAAACAGCCTTTTTACAAAATGCAGAGGATTAACCCCTTAGGTTCCACAGTGAGTATAACAAGCATGCTTTACTGCATATACCAGTGGTCTGCAAACTGCGTCCTAAGGGCCGGATGTAGCCCTTTGCTTGCTTTATTCTGTTCCTTGGGGTACTATTTAATCCACTGATACCAACAATGGGACTTAATTTCCTCCACTGACATCAGTGAAGGGACACAATTCCTCCCAATGACACCAACAATGGGGCCCAGTGACACCAATGGTGGAACAGAATTCCTCCCAAAGACACAACTGATGGGTCTCCTTTCCTCTCACTGATGTCAGGACTTTTTCTGCTCCCAATGGCCCTTCTAAAGTCTGAAGGACAGTAAACTGGCCCTTTGTTTAGAAATTTGGAGACCCCTGGCATATACAGACTGATTTTACTGTTGTGGGCTTAGTAACACTTTAAGGACTTTTTCTTTGCTCCTATGTGAGAGAATCTGATGAGTGCATTGGCAGCCAATCATGAAGCACCAGCACTGTCATATGGAACAAAATAGCAACTTCTGCACTTTAAACTGGGCAAATGATAGTGGTACAGTGTACATTTTGCTAATTGCTGTCTGTATGGAGCTTTACCTTTGCCCTTAGCTGAAAATCCAATCTCTTCATCACCTCCAGAAATGGATCCTGTTATAGATGTAATATTCTGCAAAAGGCTACAAACACACAGTACAACCAGTTATGTTATGTGAGTACATTTATACAGATACAGGTGTATTACAGGGGAAAGGAGACTGAGGAGACAACTTCCTCCCGCCTGCAGCAGACTGATGACATAATTTTCCCAAGATGCTTGTGTCAGACAGACCTTGAGACATCAAGCCTAGATACAGTCTCTTAGCTGTAAAAAACTGGTAAAGAACAGGCTTATGAAAAATAATACAGCTGCTATATATTGTGACATGTCTTAAATTTATTCACACAGATTTGGTTTGCTGATATGTCCAGTTTACTGCAGCAATGGCAGAACCTGCAATTATCTATCAGAAATAATCAGTCTGGACTACCCATGTCAGTGAAACAGCATTGCTGGTTTGCTCTATATTTGCTATGGATTACTACACAGAAAGCAAAATAAATAGCATTCTGTTATTCACACAATACCATTATGGAGAAAGTCAAACCTATAATCAGTGGTTAAAGAGGCCATACATTAAGTAATTTTCTTTCATGCAACAACGGGTTGCAGGAAAGAAAATTGCTCAATTTCCCCATCAACACATCCAGTGCTGATGGGGGAATCCCTCCCACTAAGCTAATGTATTCTGACAGCGATACAATGATCACTGCCAGCTGCTATAGTCACCAGCCGTGATCAAACAAAAAAAAAAAAAACAGACAGGCTAGTTGTACTGAAATTGATCAAGCAATCGACTTCAGTACTACCAGCTTGCCCCTTCATGCATTGCAATTTGGCTGGTTCAGCTAGATTCCACTCTGTCTATGGCATTTCGATCTGTCGATGGCTGGCTTTAGCTTTCTTACTTTTCAATGCTGGGGTTCAGTGGCGGACTGACCATTTGGGAACTCGGGCACTGCCTGAGGGCCCGGGGTCAGTAGGGGGCCCCATGAGATGCCCCTGGTACCTTTTCATAGGCTTTTTTGAGTGTGGTTTGAGTGTGGGCGAGGACACAGGGGCCCCATGATCCCCTATTGCCCGGGGGCCCCAAGAGTTGTCAGTCCACCCCTGCTGGGGTTCTATGTTCAAGTAATTTACTCACGTTAATATGTTACCCCTGTATATATGTGGGTTATTGCTAGGTGCTCAAGCTGCTCCAAAATCATACTGGCAGATTAAAGCTGAAGTCCAGTAAGCACATATATATATACTTCAAATGGAAGACTGCTGTGTTATAAGAACACAGTCTATTTTCAGTTTTCATTTTCTTGTAGCATATTCTCATGTACAGTTTCCTGAAATATGTCCAACTAAAGCTGGCCATACATGGATCAAAATTCAGCCAGTTCAGCAGGAACCAGCCAAATTTTGATCCATGTATGGTCATTCCCATTTAATAAAAATTGATCTATCTATAGACTTTTCATGAACAGGCTTGTTGGCACAGTATATATTCATGTGATCAGCGCATGCAGCCAATCGGCTGCAACACTGATCAGTGTATTCTGACAGCAAGACTCCACCATTACCAGAATTCAATGATACAATGGGGAAGATTTCCCCCTCCACCTCCAATGTGTGGATGGGGAAATCATCACTCAAAGCCAGCTAAAGACATTCAGGGCAGTAACTTCCAGCAATGACAATCAGTCGCTGCTGCTCCTGTCCAGTCTTGTTTCTGCCACATAAGTGCTGCTGTAGTTTGTGGATCACCCTGGTCTTTCCCTACCCATAAACACTCATAGGATGGAAATGGGCTCCTCAACAGACCCTGCTCCCAGAAGCCAGTTTGGAGAAAATGCAGAGGTCACAAGGTATAAAAATGCTCTAATCATGCCTCAGAACTCAGAAAATTAAATATTTATTTTGCATTTTGGCTGACCATGAAGGAAAGTGTGAAGTGAGACTGCCATAAGTCTGTTCCTCCTATTCCTTCTGTATTGTAATTGTACTGTCCCCATTTATATTGTAAAGCGCTGCGTAAACTTTTGGTGCTATATAAATCCTGTATAATAATAGTCAAATATACAACCCTGATTCCAAAAAAGTTGGAACGCTGTATCAAATCTACAAAAATAGAGAATGCAATGATCTGCAAATCTCATGAACCCATATTTTATTCACAATAGAAAACAGAAAACATATCAAATGTTTAAACTGAGAAAAGGTACCATTTTAAGAAAAAAATAAGGTAAGTTTGAAATTGATTTCAGCAACTGAAAAACACTGAAAAAAGTTGGGACAGAGCAACAAAACTCTGACAACGTAAGTGATACTGACAAGGAAGAGCTAGAGGAACATTTTGCAACTAATTAGGGTACTTGGAAACAGGTACGTAACATGATTGGGTATAAAAAGGGCATCTTGGAGAGTCAGAGTGTCTGAAAAGTAAAGATGGGCAGAGGTTCACCAATCTGTGAAAAGATGTGTCTAAAAATTATCTAATAATTTCAGAATAATGTTGCTCAACATAAAATTGCAAAGAATTTAAATATATCATCATCTACAGTATATAATATCATCAAAAGATTTTGAGAATCTGGAGAAATCTGTGTGCAAGGGAAAAGGCAGAAACGCAATACTGGTTGCCTGTGATCTTTGGGCCCTCAGACTGCACTGCATTTAAAAACAGGCACGATAATGTGATGGACGTCACTGCATGGGCTTAGGAATACTTCCAAAAATCACTGTCTGTGAATACAGTCAGTGAACATGGTCCAAAAATGCCGCTGTCTTCTCTGGGCCAAAGCTCACTGAAAATGGTATCTCTAGAATAAAGAGGCGTGGGACTTTCCAGCTTGTTGTCAGTGCTCAGTTCAAATGGCTGCATCTCTGGTGGTATGAGGGTTCATTAGTGTGTATGGAGTGGGCAGACTGCACATGTAGAAAGGCACAATCAATGGGGGGACCCAAGGAGGAATCAACATCTTTAGTTAAGTATTCTTGCTATTTTTTTCTTAAATGTTATATTTATAAGTACAGCGCCTTGAAAAAGTATTCATACCCCTTGAAATTTTCCACATTTTGTCATGTTACAACCAAAAACATAAATGTATTTTATTGGGATTTTATGTGATAGACCAACACAAAGTGCCACATAATTGTGAAGTGGAAGGAAAATTATAAATGGTCTTAAAATGTTTTTACAAATAACGTGTAAAGTGTGGCGTGCATTTGTAATCAGCCCCCCTGAGTCAATACTTTGTAGAACCCCCTTTCGCTGCAATTACAGCTGCAAGTCTTTTTGGGGATGTCTCTACCAGCTTTGCACACCTAGAGACTGAAATATTTGCCCATTCTTCTTTGCAAAATAGCTCAAGCTCTGTCAGATTAGATGGAGAGCTCCTGCGAACAAATGTCTTGCCACAGATTCTCAATTGTTTAGAAATGTGGGCCATTCAACACATGAATATACTTTGATCTAAACTAGGTGCTCCCCCCTCTCAATCACAGCCCCCCATATCACATCTCTCCCTTATATCACAGCCCCCCAAATCACAGGACATCACAGCCCCACAAATCACAGCTCCCCCTTACATTTGCTTCCCCTCAGCCCCCCTGAGACAATCAGCCCCCCCTTACTTTGAGACCCCCTATAAGAGCTGCCCCCTCTCACATCACAGTCACATCACAGCCTATCCAACTCACAGCTCCCTCTGACAGCTGCCCCCTATATCATAGCTCCCCCTTATCACATCAAGCCCCCCATATCAGAGCTTTGCCCCAGTATTACAGTTCCCCCCAATTACACCCCATTTCAAAGACTGCCCCCACATCACAGCTCCCCCCTCATGCCCCCAATTTTACAGCCCCCCTCACTTCACAGCCCCTGAAAATAACCCTCCCTGCCACCTTAACTTAATACTGTGCAGTGGCAAGTGCAGAATTTACTTGTTGTCAGAACTCACTGCAGGGAGGAGGGTGGGAGGAATGGCAGGGTGGACTCCTCTGTGTAACCTGTCCTGCCACCACTGCTGTTGAAGTCACAGTAGGGAAGAAAGCGGGAGGAATGGCAGGGTGGACTCCTCTTCTGAGTGTACTCATCGCTGCTGCCGCTGAACTCACCACAGGGAGGAGGGCAGGAGGCACGGAAGGTCTGCACTGAGGGCGGGAGCTGCCCAACTATTCTTGGTAAAAGGTGAGTGACCCGCTTGTTAATATTAAAGGTTGGGCAGCTACCGTTCCCCTTGTAGACCTTCCATGCCTTTATCATGGTGGTCAAGTGCCTGCAAGTCTATAACTCGTGAACTTCAATAGTCTGGAGGATGAAATGCTGTTGCAATTGCTGTGCTGCAGCTACTATCTGATCATCGGATGTCTAAGACTTTGCTGTCCATCACCAGATATGGAGGACTTTGACAAGCTTCTACGCTTTTAAAATCTTGGAAAGGAAAGTTTGATGTTCATATCTACTCCTGTGCTTTCGGATTCTTGACAGAAAAAGTTTATGAGATTTGCAAATCAATGCATTTTGTTTTTATGTAGCTTTTATGTGGCGTCCCAACTTTTTTGGAATTGGGGATGTAGATTTAGTAATTTAAATAAAAATCAGTAGGCAAATGCAATGTGTTTCTGGGGCTCACAATTTCCCCTTCATTAGGACTTGTGCTGGTGGTGATAGAAGGAAACACTGGACAATGAGAACAAAGTAACATTAAAATGATGACAGTTCAGGCACCAGACTATACCAATCAGCACAAGCCTTGATGAAGGGGGAACTGTGAGCTCCCAAGACACACTAGGGATTATTTACTAAAATTGGACTTTGCAAAATGTGGTGCAACTCTGCACAGAACCAATCAGCTTACATCACTTTTTTGGATTGGTCTGGGGGCCTATAGGTTTACCCCATATAATAGAGAGCTGCCTACCAAGGATGGAGACTGCACCAGATCATACTAATCTTTGACGCTAGTGCTCCATCAGCACCCATTCTGTGATGTAGTAAGGAGAGAGTGTGCTATCTAAATGACCTAAATATGAAACTAATTGCACTGTCTTACTCACATTAGTGCTGGGAAGTCACAGCAATACCTGATTGTCCGGGAATCGCTGAACAGAAAGACGTCCCCCAACACAGTCCCAGCCTTTACAGACAGTCCGCCAGGTTTCTGGAGTTTATCCAACATGTTTTGGATTAAGGTTGATTTCCCAACTCCTGAATCACCTAGAAATGCAAAATAAACCAGGTAACACAAGAGCACCTCGAAAGTTATATAGATGGATACTGATATGCAGTAAATTGATCCATGGATGCTCAGATGGGAGGAGCTCACCTGTGAAGAGGACGGGATGCTTAGCTATCAGGAGAAGACTGCTTAGGAAGGAATATCTCACACTGTCCACAGTAGAGATGAAGCGTTGGACACTGCCCTCTCTGTCCTTTAAAGGGTTAAGCTCTGAGAACAGTAAGGTCTCTAAAAAGACAAAAAATGGGCAAATGGGTTTCAACAGATGTTAATATCACACACAGAGATGTACCCAAAATAAAATATACAGAACACCCACATCTACTGCAGTATTTCCTAAACTTTATGCTTTTTTTCTTTTTTTTACCCCATGAGCAAAAGGGAATGTTTTGAAGCAGTACCTACAGCCAAAATACCAAGATAAAAATGCATAGCCTATTTAAAGATAAAGTACTGTAAATGGGCTATGCATTTACCTGTTGTGAATGTTGTTGCAGCATGCACCTTCAATCCAGAGATTTTCCCGGCAGTATTTGTCCTGCAGCTAGATGTCCTCAGTCTCATTCTACCCACTTCTGAGCCCAAGTTGTTCTGGACCCAACACCAACCTGTGATTGGACAGTAACAGAAAAAGTGGCACAGTGATGGAACTCATCTCTCTGTCACTTTGCTCCCTCCTCCTGTCAGCATGCTTCTTGTCAGCACATTAACTGATTAGCTCCTTGTGCTGTTTTTCTTTCCCTCACACTCCAGTCCTGCTGTACAGGTCAAATTCAGATACTTTTAAAAAAAACATTTAAAGATGCATTAATGATTACAGAACTGCATTAATATGTGCATTTTACATCTGCCTAGAGTTCAGCTTTAAAAGAAAATCATAATGTTTATTGAGTTATTACCACAGGGTTTATCTTAAAATAATCCAGCTATTTTATATTTTTACAGGTTTACTTCCATATTTTTGTTATTGTTTTAAAGCATATGTCTGGGCAAA